ATGGAGTGGGGTGGTGGAAGCAGTTAGATCAGTGTTTTCAAGATGTGTAAACTTCAGAATTCCCTAGCTAGCATGCTGGCTGCAGAATTCTGGGAGCTGAAGTTTTAAGATCGCTAAGCTTGAGAAACCCTGGGTTAGATTGTCAGATAATGGCCACTGGGTATATTGGGTGGTAGTGGAAACCGGTGTCTAATATAGCCAAATTGAGGAAGTCTGGATTAGAGTAAATAATATGTGGATGAGAGATGTTTAAATTTATCACATTTTTATTGCGGTCAATAACAGGTCAGTTGCCAACTTAGATTTTTCATTATTCAGATGTTATATTTGTACTATCACATTTTCATATTAATATGCAAAATTTCTTGTTGAGGATGCATGAAAAATTATGATATGATGTCTGTGAGATAGGTAGCCACACAAGAAGACTAAATAAATAATAGTTATGATGCTTGTACTGCCGCCAGAATCAAAAGTAGCTTGCGTTAAATATGAATTGCTAAGCAACAGCACTGAAGGAAGGTTATCACTTTAAATGTCCTGCTAATTTTTTCAGTTCAAGATGCCACCTTTCATTTTGTCTTCACAACAACAATCCTACTTAGTAGAGCTGATAGCTGAGAGAAAATAATCAGCCCAAAATTTCCCAATGAGTTTTTATTTCTGAAGATGGATTTGAACTTGGATCTCCCCTATCCTAGATTAACACCTTCACCACTACCCACATTGGTCTCCTAGCTCTTCTTCTGGGTGCATTTCATTGCTCAGCCTTTGGTTTAATCTATGGCATGTTTTGTAATACTATAACTTTTCTGCAAAATGTTTTCCGTAGTATGTATTTTATGATCTTTCTCTAAAATATTTTGAGATGGACCAGTGGTCTAAGGCAGGTTTTTATATCTCATATCAGTTAGCATTTGCATTTTTTCTTTATTTTACTCTGATGTAGATCTATATTGCATGAAGATCGTTGCCAATAAGGGTTTGTAATAATATGTTGCTGGAGATATCTTTAGTGGCTAAAACAATTTAAATATTTGATATATTTAAAGGCTGCTAAAAGTATTGTGGCATCTATTTTTATAGATTCATTTAATCCATAAGACCGACAATACCACTAGAGTGTCTACAATGGGTTCCTGCAGTCCTCACATATCCAACATTATTTATTTTCTCTTGGCATAGCAAGTTGTATGAATGGAACAAATTATGATTGATTCAAATTATACTTATATAAACCATTGTTTAATACAATATGTGAAGCCAGCTTAAGTGTTCTATAACATGCTATAACATTAAAGCATGAATAGGAATGCTCTATTACCAATACAATATTATGCAGCATATAACTGAATAAGTATAATTAGAATGATTATGTCAGCTTGGATTTTATACATCTCCCAGCATCTCAAAATATTAGGATTTATTAAAGAAGTCTTCTATAACAGGTTTGATTAGCAACTCTGTGTTAATTGTATATTACAATTGGTAAAAAAGTTTTGATAAAGATATAGTTACAAAGAAAAAAGAAAGAAAAGAGAAAGTAACCAAATATGTAAGCTGTTGAACTGCATTTCTGAACTTCACTGCTGAAATTATTTGCTTCCCCTGACAATTGGATGAATAAAAGCAAAATGCTACTGGCTTATTATGATATGAATGTAGTGAGCCAGCTTTTAAAATTTTGATTTAAATGACTTCAATAAATTATGTTCAATGGAAACATTAAGAGAAGTTGGCCCATATTTTATTGCATTCTAATCAGACTTAACAAAATAAAATATGTGCAAAAGTTGCTCATGGGTATAAGAACAAATAGTTGAAAACTATTACAGTAATTTTATGTTGAGCATCTGAAAAAATTAACCCATTGAAGAAATACAATTTTGAAGTAGCTACATATTTATATAACATGTAATTATATAAGGTAGTGCTTCATCTTGTAGATAAGATACTATTATCGTTAATATATATAGCCAACTCTTCCTGTTTTTAATGTGTAGCTTTTGCTTCTGCAGTTTTAAATGTTGTACACATCTGTTTTAGGTTCATTGCATTTATTTTTATTTAAATGTTTTTTGTCAATTGTGCCTTGAACAGAATTTTCTTGTGAGCCAGGATAAAAATATTGTAATAGAAATGCTATAGATGGTTCTGAGGAACTAAAAATGACATGTTTAAATTATAGAAATGGGGTCTTAGCTTTTCTACTTTCTGTGATGCCCTTAGTTAGGGAAAATGCATGCTAATAGTTAAATTGTCCTGGACTGAATAAAAATAACATAGTAATCCAACAAAGAGATAATTGTTGTGGGCTTCTGTTTTTTTTCCCCTACAGATATTAAGCAGTGGAAATTGAACTGGCAGAAACTTGGGAACTGATGTACGGAGATGTGTTTGCGTACATTTAGGTAGCTGTAAATATTGGTGACTTCATAGGGAATCAAACTTTCTCTTTAGGGATATGTTGCTAGCATCAGGACTAATTTATTGTGGTCAGTTGCAGACCAATTAAATTTAATAGTCTGTGACAAAGGTATGATGCATGTAAAACAATTTGCTGCTATTTCTCATCAGATATATATCCTCATATGTATAGGGGAGATCACTATTTGCAGATCATAAAGAACACCTACAGCAAATTCTGTAGCACTGATGACAGTACATAGATATTATATAATGTAAGGCTACCCTCCAGGTTGAGGTCAAGACCTGATGACTACATGCATGTTTCAGAAATATTTAGAGTGTATGGGGCAGAGTGTCTTATCTTCCAATCTAATCTGTATCCCTAGAAGTAGATGGACATCCCCATCCAATCCTTAAACAGGGCTAAATCTGCTTTGCTTTAGAAATTAGCCATGGTTCAGCTAGATGTTGCCACCTGCTGGTTTTTTTTCTCTAGAAGGTGAATGTTTGGGAAATTATAAATGCACAGAATATGTTGCTGCATCTTTAGCAATGAGCCTGCTGAATTCTTGGAATGCTTCAATGGTAAATGTCCTCTAAAGAATTCAAAAGGTATTTAGTGTCTATTCTATCAAGGAGATCCTAGGAATGAAGATTTCTTTTCCTTGAAAATTTAGTATAGAAAACCAGATGTTTTTGCTAAATGGTTGCCATTCTGCTGCATAATTAGCCAGCAGGATAAAACTTTTACTTTCCATTTTTCATATTTTGGACAGAAGGACACGGTCAGCTTTCTTATATGAAGAACTTCATGGTGTAGTTGAATAATAATGGAAAAAAATCATCTGAGAACAACTACAGAGTAGAATTAAGGCCATGTGTTTGATTCTAGTATTTAACACCTCAGTCCAAATACAGCCTAGTGGCAGGCCTTAGGTCCATAGTGGCAGGTTGGGGAGACAGGGGGACCCAAAAGATAAAGAATTCTATGTAATCCATAGCAGTAGCCCCAGATCCCCCTCAGCAAAATGTAGGATGGTTTGAAGTAATTTGCATTCTAAAAACTTGCGTGCCTTTTTTGGTCAGCTGTTATATCTGCGTAGATAGCTAGGCTTTTTATGATATACAATTAAAGTATCTGCCTCTCTCACATATTCCAGCAGTCTCTTTTTAATAGCGGTAGAGGATTCACAAAGCCAGTACAGGAAAATAGTTAACATATGTACTGCCACTGCAACTGGAAAAAATTGAGTCAAGGCTGACCCAAATTTTATACAAAGGTTTGCATTTCGGGAGCTTTATGAATGATGCATACTGCATATGTTCAGAAATGTTTCTGCTGGGCTTGTAAAGGGAGAAAAATAGCAAATTGTACCCTCCATTCTGAGGTCTGCATATAAATCTTTTTGATGAACTATCAGTTGTATGTGATCCTTTTTCTGGGAAAAAAATCGTGTCATAAACTTTGGTCTAAAAGTAAAGAAGTGTTTTTAGATGAAAAAGGTGTTACATTTTTGTTCCCAAAACAATGATGCTGAAGGCATTTCTTGGAAATATCTGAACTGAATTTATTGAATTACTTCTGGTATTTGACTGGGTGAGGGTTGGAACCTCAAAAAAACATTGACAATCTCTGTAATGTCTCATTCCTGACTTCATGCAGTGTGGGTGGACCAGGAGAGGACTGGGCCACAAGGAACTGCTTTGTTAATAAAAAAAACTACAAAAAGTAGTAACCAGAATTTTTTTTTACTAGACTGCTTAGTGGATTGGATGTGTTTTCCTGCTGAATGCAAAAGAGGGGAAGTGCTCATCTTCATGGCATATGGAATGCAAGGTTCTAGCTTTTTAGAACACTTAATATTAATAATAAAAAGGTGTTTTCCAACCCCTGTTAATGTCCCATAAAACAGACAGACTGGGAAAGAGGGATTCGTGTTCCTTCCTTCCCATTCCTCTCCTTAGAATTCCTGGTTGAATAATGACTAAAGGTCGGTCGTTTAAACACCAGACAGTACTCTGCTAGTAAAGTGATTCAGAAACAAGGCAGTGGGGATCAAATGGGAAATAATAGGATTCACTGAATAGGATGATTTGAGTGTACAGAGATTTAACTCAATCTCATGTATTTACAGTATCTGCTGTTGCGCAACTTATGCTTTAAGTATTATTTGGGCGTTGTTTACTATCCAAGTGATAAATAAGCAAGGAAAAAAATATCCTTTGGTATACATTAAGAGCACGATACTGCAATAATTATAACGAAATTCCCCCAATCATTGAAGCGTCTCTGTAAAGAGCTGGCACTGGTTTCCTTTTGGGCAGGGATTTCTCCTCTGTGTGCTTTGCAACTTCCTGCTTTGCATAATCTTCTTAATCCTGCTTTAGCTCTATTAATTTTCCTCCTTTCCTCTTTTTCTGATCCGCTTTCTTCTGCTGCATGAATTCAGGAGTTCCTGAGCTTAGGGGAGCAACTCGGGTCCCTGCGGTGGTCAGCCATATCCTGGGTTACCTCCGGAGCGTCTAGTATCATGCAGCAGGGGCCCTGGGATGGTGGTGCCTGAATGTATCCCATTCTCTCTGTCTTACAGGCTGTGCAGCCTTCGCCTGAAAAAGCTGACCGTGCTGCGGGAACTAGACAAGGAGCTTAGCTCTGTGCTCATTGCTGTGAAGATCCAGGTAAGCTGCTGATCTTCTGTACTGTATTCACCTATCTTTGGGGAGGCCTACTGGGTCCTGATCAGAGATGCTTTTCTTCACTGTACCATTGTTATCGTCTCATTATTGTTGCACATTTGCCTTTTCCACAAACTGCCATTGCCTCTGAAGAGAGGAACCACCTTTACTGTCTCTGCAAAGCTTCTTGCTCTTTATAAAAGGTAGCCATTTGATATGTAGAAATATATATTGCTATATAATAGTAGTATTACAGACGAACGAGACTATGTTTATATACGGGAATGTTCACAACAGATTATAAGCTTGCCAATAGTTTTACATAATTGCTAAATATATGAAGGGGGGGGAAAAGATCTTAGTAAAGGCCATGTGCTTTTGTCCTAAATATGAACCTAGAGAAAGAGGAAGGCCCAAGGCCTTTTCTTCATGAGTAATAATCAACCTTCCCTAGTAAAAATATGATCTAGGTCATCACATATTGTATTAGATCGTGTTTTTTTAAAACCATAGTTTACTGAAATAATCCTGATTAGTTGGATTCTAAGAGTATACTTTGCCATTATGCAATTTGTTTAATTAGAGGTGGTCCGGTTTTCTTTCTTGGGCTTCTAACAAATAACACTAATTATTAAATACAACAGAAATATAAACAAGCAGATCTGTGCAAACTATATCTGTTTCTGAACTTCGACTGGGATTCTCCATTCTCACCTCCATTCTCAGATTAAATAAATACCAGCACATCATAGATAATTTCAAGAAACAACTGGACCAAACCATGACATCAGAACACACAAAAATGCTGACTACCTTCAAGACGAAGCGTGAAGTGAAGCACACGATTAGCGAACCGGTTCCCACCACTGCCTGGAATGCTAGTAAAAGGAATTAGACCACCTATAAAATATCTTTCAACAAGGTGGATATCCATACCACTTCATTAAAAAAATATGTGACCACTCAATCCATACATACATCCTTTGGATGCCATACTTCAAAAATATCTCAGAAATTACTAATAAGCTATTACAACCACATAGCATCACTGTAGCATGCAAATCTACTAAAGCCCTCCCAAACATTTTAAGTAAACTAAAAGACCCAGTAACTAAGAAGAAAAAATAAACAGAAGTCATGTACTGTACAACATACAGCGGAAAGTTAGAAGACATGATGAAAACTCCTTAATCTCACAGCACATGTACAGACTCAACCATAGTTTCAGCTGTGAAACTGTGACCATCCTAGATCAAGGTAAAACCAAAAAATGCTAGGAAATTATTGGATGATTGGCATTCAGACAAATCAGCTCTCAATAGACAAATTGAGATAAACCACATTTATACACTATTCAAAAGAGACAAAAAAAAGCTAAGAAGGAAATAAAAAGACCAGAACACATCCTCTCCAGCAGACACCAGCCAGATAAGCAGGAATTAACACTAGACAAACAATCAAGCAGAAAACAATACCCTAATCAGGGAACCATCAAGAAGAAATCCATGCTCCTACCAGCACCAGCAAGCAAGCTACTGTACATAAACAGGGAGCAAATCCCACACCCACTAGCATTGATGATATTCCCTAACTGAATCATGAAATGTCTGCAAGCAAATGACTAAGATCAGAGAACACCAAGGACTCCATAGTTCAACCCTGATTTACAAATGTTTCTTCCATTAGAATTGTCCATTCTGAAATGCAATCTACAGGTAGACCTTAACTTACAGCCACAATTGAGCCCAGAATGTATATTGCTAAGTGAGTAATTTGTTAAGTGAATTTTGTCCCATTTTATGACTTTTCTTGTCACATTTGTTAAGCGAATCACTGCAGTTGTTAAATTAGTAACACAGTTGTTAAGTGAATCTGACATTCCCATTGACTCTGCTTGTCAGAAGGTCGCAAAAGATGGTCACATGACCCCAGGACATTACAACTGTCATAAATACAAATCAGTTGTCAAGCATCCAAAAGTAAATCACATGACCATAGGGATGCTGGTTATGCTCATAAGTGTGAAAGATGGTCATAAGTCACTTTTTTCAGTGCCGTTGTAACTTTGAATGATCACTATATGAACTGTTGTAAGTTGAGGACTGCCTGTATATGGTTTTCTTGCTGGACCATAAGAACTGAGCTTGTCTTTCTGACAACAACTCCAAAATACAGTCACCTTCTTTTGTACTTGCCTCAATAGTATATTAGGAGACCCTTACATTGTCAGGATTTTGTCCCATAAATTAAACTGTTGATGATTTTAAATAAAACATTTACCAATTACGTGAGAATTTTCAAAAATATTGTCAGGGGCATCCAAAACTTCAGGATTTCTTGAGGGGTTTTCTTTTGGATACTTTCTATGGAGAGATCCAAAAATATGCTTTTTTCTTTCCTTTGAGAATCATAACATTCTAAATCAGGAGTCCCCAAACTTGGCTACTTTAAGACTTGTGGACTTCAAGTCCCAGAATTCTGGGAGTTGAAGTCCACAAGTCTTAAAGTGGCCAAGTTTGGAGACCTGTGTTCTAAATGTTAAAAAAAACAACTTGATGCACGTTAAAATAATGTATAAATACAGTTGTGCCACTAACCACCCCATTGCTACGGTAGCAGCGGGTTAGGAGTCATTGATAGCTTAAGCACAATGGGATAAAAAGAATACTATTGTAATATATCCATTTTTGTAAAAGGCTTTTAATTATAACATATCTAAATATGACTATTAAAAAACTGTAACCATTGCATTTAAAATTTAACTGCATGAATGAGCAAACTTGGCTAAAAATGCATGCACCGTATAAAAAGCCATCATTGGTTGCCTGTATGATTGAGTGTTTATTTGTTGTCAATATATGAATTGCAGGATGCTTTGAGGCGCCTAACTCCTTTGTCTAAGAAGATGGCTCCTTGGCTATTATTTTTAGAAAACTACTAGCAGGGGCATGTATTTGTCTAAAATTGAAGAGAGTTAGGGTGAGGAGTGATGAATTTTCATAAAGGGCCTTTCTAGTCCAATAATTTGTGCTGAGAATGGAGGATAGAATTTACTGGTTCCCATGGATTATGATGTATACATAGATAAAATGTCTTTAGAAATCAGAGTAATCTTTTTCTTTGGAAAATTGTTTTCCTTATACCAGATCAGGTATTTAAACCATTTGTTTGGCTCTCTAGGTTCCCTTGGGGGAAAATATTCACAAGAGGTATTGCCCTTCCTGTGCCCTGTTCAGCTGTTGGAAAAGCTGCTGATGCCACTAAAAGCAGGCTGGGGAAGAGGCAGAGAGAGCTTTGCATTCTCTCTAGGCAACCATTAGGATTTAAATCCAGGATTAAGAATGGAAGCTGCTGTTTTTAAAGTTGCTTTTTGAAAGCGTATGGGGTGATCTACATAGTGCAAGTTATACAACAGCAAGAGGCACTGAACTGTAGTCCACATGGTTCCTCTAACTTGAGAGGCAAATATGGTGCCATTCAGGGGTGGGATTCTACCAGTTCGCACCTATTTGCTAGAACCGGATGTTAACATTCTAAGCAGTTTGGAGAACTGGTTGTTAGAAGAAATTAGTGGCCTAATCCTGTAAGGAAGGCAGGAAGGAAACATTCTGGTATTGCTTACAGAAACTGCCTCTCCGTTAAGCCTTATTACATTCTTGGCAGGACTAGACTTCCTGTCTCAGGAACGTCCCTGGAGTTTTTTTCCCCTCCTTTGCTGGTACTTCGGTTCTGTGGAGTGACTATTCAAAGTTGCAATGTCATTGAAAAAAGTGAGTTATGAACGTTTTTCACACTTATGACTGTTGCAGCATCCCCACAGTCATGAGAGGCCAAGCGAGGAGATGCGCACCTCGATGTGAGTGATATTGAGTTGGCCACGCCCAGCCAATACCATGACCACCAAGCCATGGCCACCCAGTCACATGACCACCAAGCCACGCCCACCACCCAAGCCATGCCCACCACCTAAGCCACGCCCACAGAACCGGTTGTTAAAAATTTGAATCCCACCCCGGTGCCATTCCCAGAAATTCTTTATTATAGTATAGATTATTGGGAAGCTTTACTTACAGGCAGTCTTTGATTTACAACCATCCCCTTGAGGTTACAACAGCACTGAAAAAAGTGACTTATGACGAGTTCTAACCAGTATTGACTGTTGCAGCACCTCCATGGTCATATGATCAACAGGCACTCGGCAACTGGAATATATTTATGATAATTGCACTGTCCCAGAGTCCTGTGATCACCATTTGTGACCTCCCCTTTAATTATAACATTTCTAAATATGACTATTAAAAAAACTAACTATTGCATTTAAAATTTAATTGCATGAATGAGCAAACTTGGCTAAAAATGCACGCATATAAAAAGCTATCGTTGGTTGCCTGTACTATTGAGTGTTTATTTGTTGTCAATTCAAGAATTGGGTGGTAGAAAGGATAACTAAATCCAAAGACGAATCAGACTTTGGGGGAGAGGGAAGAGTATCTTTGGGATTCCTCTCATTTTACATTACTTGACATTCCTTACTGTAGTTATATCTGTAGGACCTGTACTTTGTACAGCAGGTAGCACAATGCCTATCAGTTCATGAAACACAACAGGCTGCATTGCATTACATGCACCACATTTCATAAGTGGTTTGAGCCAAGACTATTTAGAGTGTGTGTGTGTGTGTGTGTGTGTGTGTGTGTGTGTGTGTGTGTGTGGTTATAAGTTTGGAAGCATTTCTCATGTTCCCTTGCCTTTACTTTCCAGAGAACTAGGGATGGTCTCTTCTGAAATGCCTCCATGCCCCCATTCCTTCTTTGGGGTGAGATACTTTGATCATTTTCCAGGCTGAAGCTTTTCTTCACGTCATTTTATAGTCCATTACACCAAACCACTTGGGGGGGGGGAGGAGGATGGGAGCCACAAGGGGATGTTTGTGGTCTATATCTGGTTACTCAGCCATACTCATCCCATAATTGTAATAAAGTCTCAATACTGAGGTGGCAAAA